TTAATTCTTTTATGCATACAAGAGCTGGGGTGTCGGCCAGAGGTGTCGGGGTGGGGTGAGAGGACGCCCCAGAGACAGAGCGGGGAGCAGAACAGGCAGACGGCCTGAGACACACTGCTGAGGGGCAGCGGGGAGACGGGGGGGGGGTCTGCTGCGCCCTGGGGGTACCCCCCACCCCCTGGCCGGGGACTGAACTCACGCTGCAGGCTTGGGACAGCTTCCTAGGCTGTGCTTTGACCCTGCACCCCCAGGGGGGCCCCACTTTCAAGTTTTTAAAGACATCCCACGAGTTTCTCCAGAAAGGCCGCACAGATACTCACTCCCAGACTCCAGGGACAACGACCACCAGGTTCTGTTTTGCAAACCCATTGGGTTAAAAATTACAATTCCGGTAATTTTGCAGTTTAGAATTTTGCAGCTTTGACCGACTCGTGGCCCGGGGCCCATCTGCGGCCTGCCCTGGCCGCGCGCGTTTCTGTCCGCTGCTTGCTGTTACTGGTTTGTCCAGCTCTTGGCTCGCGTGGACGTCGCCCCTTCGTGCGCTGGTTCTGGATTTCCCTCTGGCCCGGAGGCGAGCCCCGTGCCCTGTCTCTGGGGGTGTGTCGGCGAGGTGCCCCGTGGTGCCCCGGCCTGTCTTCTGCCCACATCACACACACCCCTGCACTACGGCTGCGTTTACACCGGAGGGGGTGCTGTCTGGTTTTGGGGGGCACGTGGGACGTGTGTGGGGAGGGGGAGTCCCGCCGCAGGGAGGGTGGCCGGCGCCCCGGGGCCGTGCCCACGGCTGCCTGGCTCCTTGTTCTGGCAGCTTCCGTTCTGCGCCCCCGGCCTGTCGCTGCCTGCCAGCGTTCCATGCCCGGGCCATTGTAGGGTATTTTGAGATCAGGTGTGTGATTCCCCTTATTCTCTGTCCAAAAAAACTGTTGACTCTTCCTGTGTGTTTGCTCTTTGTGGTCAGCGGCCTGTGTCCTTGGATCTCTTGATCTGGGACAGTCGGTGGTGACAGGTGTCCGAGGGCTGGGCTCCGGGTTGCTGGTCTCCGGCTGCGGAAGCACCCCCCCCGCCCCCCCCACTGACGTGGCGCTGCCTTCCCGTTTTTCGGGTGCCGCTTGCACCTGGAGCGGGTCCCCGGCTCACCGGAGCGGCTCTGCTCACCCCAGCATCGGCCGGGAAACAAGCTCTAATGCGAACTAATTCCAGCGTTCGCCGGAAGGCAGATGTAATTACCGCGCAAATTATCGCTCCCACCCTCGCTCATTCCAGAACAAAATGTGAGCGGCTATAATCTCCTCCCTGGCTGCGCCCTCCGTCCGCCCCGCGGGAGACGGTGCCTGCCCACCGGACTCCAGGCTGCTCGGCCCCTCAGCGCGCCCGACGCGGCCCAGAGCCTGGGCCTGCCCGTCGTCGGAGGGCAGGACGCTTCCCAGGGCAGGTGTGAGAGCTGTGCCCTCCGCTAGCGGGCGGTGGCCGGCGCGTTTCTTTGAAATTTCTGCAGAATGCACTTGGTTCCCAAAAGGGGACCGCGTGGAGGGAACGGGGTGCATGGGGCGCTGCCTCGGCCCCAGGATCGGCCCGGCCTGCGCCCCTCCCACTCAGCGGAATCTTGGGTGCCGTGTCCTGCCCCCGACTCCTCTCCCCCACTCCCCATTTCACCTGGACCCTCCGTGGGACACTGCTCGGCTTGAAGAGGGGCCCCCACTGCTGCTTTCTAGAACCTTCCCCCGCCCGCACCTCGCACCCCGGCCGATACCTTTCCGCAGTGTCCTGTCTCCCGAGATGACGCGGTCCCGGCGCTGCGGCTGGGCTGCTCGGCCGACCTCTGTGCTCTGCTGAGGCCCCACGCCCGCCCTGAGTGCTTCTCCAGGGGGGCCAGGGCCCTCCGCAGGGCTGGAGGGGGCCTGGGGCACAGCCTCTGGCCGGGGCAGGGGGTGAGATGCCCTGTCGCGTTCTGAAGGGCCCCGGGCCTCACCCATCGGGGGCAAATCCTACCGGCCCTTCCTGCGGCCCCCCATCCTGAAATCCAGCTGGCCGCATGACTTCCGGGGTGGTGTGGGGCCCCCTCCCTGGGAGGCGATAGGCCCCCTACTGCCCTCGCTGGGTGGGCTCTGAGGAGGCCTGGTGCAGGCAGCGCTCGGAGAAACCCCTGCGCCTCAAGGTCCCTGGCGTGGGGTCCTGTGTCGGGTGACCCCTTCCACACCGGTGTCACGGGGGCCTGGCCCCTGTGACCCTTGCTCATTTTTGGTCAAAACCCTTGTGTGCGAAGTTGACCTCCTGGTACGCCGTGGCTTCGGGCTGCGGAAATGGCCTCCCGGGCAGGCGGTCACTGCCCAGCCCCCGCGCCTGCCCGCTGTGCCGCCCCTCCGCCCTGCCCAGGCCCGTGGGCCCTGCCCGGCTCTGCGTGCTCCCCTGACCGCAGCTGCTGACCGCTCACCGTTGCTTTACTTGACCTTTCTTCTGCCCTGTGCTGGCCCCGCCGCCCGGCCCGGCAGTGGCCGGCATTTGGGGCACCTCAGGGCACCTCGGGGCAGACCATGGCCGCGGCCTCACCCCTCCCTGAAGAGGGACAAGCTCTGCCCCACGGCCACGTGGCACAGCTGCTGCGTGCTGGTCGTCCTTTGCCCTGTCCCGCCGGGCAGGCTGGGCTGGGTCCACGGGGAGGCTGAGACGGGTCCAGGTGGGCGCCGGGCCTCGCGGGCGAAGGGCCGGTGGTGGGCTTGCGTACTCCGGCGAGTGCCCGCTTCTTCCGGAAGCCTCTGAGCAGAGGCCTGGGTGGGCAGGGCAGAGTGGTTCCCGGGCTGCGGGCCACCATTTCTCATTTTATAAAAGGATTTTGACCTTTCACGGAAGGCCCCTCAGTCGAGCAGCGGCCTGGCCTGCTGTTGGGCCCAGACACGCGGGTGGCCACGCCAGGGGCCTGCGCTGCCCGCCTGGGGCCGGTGTGCGTCCCCCTCTCTGTTCACTGTGGGAAGCGCCTGTTGGCCGATGGCTTCTGGGGCCCTGGGGCTGTGCCCTGCCCTGGGAGTGAGGGTGGCCCTGGATCCAGGCTGTCTGGCGAGAGGTGGCGCTGGCCACTGCCCGCCTTGCTCTGGTCCACTGGGGGACCCTGCGGACCCCTCCTGGAGGCCCACCCGGGGTGGGGGTCACCGTGTGGCCTCCGGGGGCCCCAGGGTCCCTGTGTGTTGGTTAGCCGTGCCCGAGGGTGCGAGGTCCTTCCCGAGGGCCGGGGGGTTGTGTCCGTCGGCGTGGGGGGCTCGGGGTTTCTGTGCACTCAGCCATCAGAGGGATGGGGCGTAGGGGAGGCCAGGTCCGCAGCGGCCCCCGGTGGGCAAGGTCCTGACGTGCAGGTCTGGTGCAGCGCCCCTCTGCTCCCCGTGCCTGTGAGGCGGCCGGCTCGCTCTCCCTGCCCACAGCACAGCTGCCACGGGCAGCCTCTCGGTGACCAGCTCGCCATGGCCATGTGCCCACATGGCCTCTGTGCCCCCCCAGGGCTTGCTGGGAACAGCTGCAGGGCCCAGGGGCCACCCACCCAGCCTCTGGCCTGGGGCCGGACTCCACCGCTCCCTGCCAGCTGTTCCGGCGGCCCCTCCCTGGGCCCTGCGGCCTGGGGCGCGTGAGTCAGCTCCTCTGGGCCTCGGTTTCCTCACCGGGAGGGGTTCCCACACAGACAGCTGAGGAAGCCGGAGGGACACCATAAAGCGCTCGGCCGGCCCTGCTCTGGCGAGCACACTAGCTGTTAGCTGTTGGGGTGTCATGCAGTCGTAGGGGCTACGGGGAGAGGCCTGGGGACCCTGGGGTCACGTTCCACTCTAAGCCACGGGCTTGGCTCACGCCACCTCAGCGTGGCCTGCTGGGTCCCTGGTGTTGAGCGTGGCCGCTGCTGCCGTGGACACAGCTGGGGGCTCCCCGGGCCCATGGCAGCCGGGGCGGAGCTGGCAGAAGCAGCTCGAGGGCTGCCGGTGGCCATGGCCTGTGGTCATCAGCCTCCACAAAGAGCGTTGTCCAGCTGGCAGCTGGGCGATGACTTCTAGAAAGCCACGGGCCACAGGACCCAGGACCTTGGTCCCCGCCAGCCAGCACGTGACCCGCGGAGTCCTCGTGTCCCCCGCCGAGCCCCAGTTGTCTGGTGTGCGACGAGGCGAGGGCACACCCTCTGGCAGGCAAGTCTCGGGGCGATGGGCCTCCCCGAGTCGGTGGGGTCCGGAGGTCTCGCAGCAGAGTGGCGGGAAGGGGGAAGTGCTGTCGCCTGCCCTCTCCCTGCTGATTGCGCAAATGTCTGTGTTGCTGCAGGGGCCCTCAGGCTCATGTGCACAAGGAAACGCACATGCGTGTGTGCCCAGGAGCACACACACTGGTCACCTGTGCACCTGCGACACCCACGCACACCCACGCGCCGCGCATGCACACACGAAGCCCAGGGACACCCACGCACACCCACGCGCCGCGCATGCACACACGAAGCCCACGGACACACACATGCACACCCAGGACGCATGCGCCCACACACACCCGGGGACACACACGTGCACACCCAGGGACGCATGCGCCCACACACACGCCCAGGGACACACACGTGCACACACACCCAGGGACACGCACCCTCTCGCACACCCTAACTCAGTCACCGAAACACTCCAAGTTGGGGAAGCCGAGGGCAAGTTTTTAGGGAACACGACATTTGATTTATGTCTACACATGTGTGTTTTCACTAATTAGAAGGTTTAGGGCAGAGCAGGGAAAATATGTATTTCAGAGTCCCAGTTTGACTTGCCAGAAACCAGCTGGTCACTAACACTCTTATTTTTGACAGAATTTAGCATCTGATCACATAGCATTTCGGTGCAGTGGCTCCGGCCAGCCCGGAAGTGGCTCGAGGCCACAGCAAAGACCCAGAGGCCGGCCCGGTCCGCACCGGCCGGGCGCGGATCGCTCTGGAGGGTCGGGCGCCCGCTTTGCCCGCTAAACGGGCAGGACCACCCGGCGGAGTATTCTGCCGATCGCCCATGCTGGCGCCGGGGTCTCGAGAGAACGCTCGCTCGCGGCTCACGCGGATGAAGAGGCGGGCGCGGGAGGCGCCCGCCCAGTCGGTCCCTGCTGGCCACAGTGGTCCGCAGCCACCTGAGCCGGCCCCGTTCCCGCACCTGTGGAGCGGGGTCGCGGTGGCGCCCAGCCCCCAGGGTGAACAACGCCAGCCAGCCGCAGGGGTGAGTAAAGGATCGCTGGCCGGGCGTCTCAGAACCTGCCAGTTCGCTGCAAGAGATGCCGTAACGGGAGCTGTCTTTACCTGCTCAGTCTAGTAGGTGTCTCCAGGTGTTCAAGGATGATGCGTGGGTCACAAAACAAAGGCTTGTGTCTAGCGTGCGCCCCAGGTACGTAGCCCCAGGCTGTCCTCGAGGGCCCGGCACGGGCACCGCTGCACACGGCGC